GGGCTCAGCCATGCCTTCCTTCCTTCTGTCGTCTGCTGAGCCTTGCTCATCCCCACCCGTCGGGCTTGAGCATTTTGGACTGGAGATTGTTCGGGTGGCACTGCGGCTTGCGTGGGTGGTTACCAGAACAGCCAGGATGTGTCCAAGCTGTTGCTTCAGGGAGTTGCCAACACTACTAACGCAAGCGGTTTGGCTCGGAGTGTAAGAAAAGAACAGGAAGTCAGATGAAGCGCGGCGTAGGCACTGGGAGGAGCAAAGGCATGAAGAAAGGGGCGAAGGGGTAGGGCGAGAAGCAAAGAACATTTCCTGAGGGCAGGGCGGTGGGAATCAGGGCTGTTTGCCCCACTGTTTCAGAGTGGGCAGCGCTGATTCAAGGCCCAGTTGTTCAAAGATAGGCACCACAAAACAGGTGTGACTGCTGGTCAGTGGGGCTATGTCTTATCATCACAGAGTAAGAGAGGCTGAGTGGAAGGCAACGGGAGAGGCTCACGCAGCAAGGACCTTCTGGATTCGGAACAGGCCTTGCCCGGTGCTCACCTCCGTAACTACTGTCAAGTTGGTGCCAGGTGCCATCTCTGATCAAGCATGCCACATGAGACCGTCTCTATCCTGGGCCAGTGGGACGGAAGTCCAGGCCTTCAAGCCGCGAGTTCAGGAAAGGGTATGACCTAGTTATCTAGTTAAAAGGTTTAATTGTGCGAGCCGGGACTGCCAGTGGCCTCTTCACCACTTTTGAGGGCGGCTGGGCCTGAAAACAGGAGTAAGAGACATGAGAACACACATGTTTCATGATTTGTCTGAGCCCTGACCTGGGCCAAGGTCTTCTGGACTTCCTGGAACTTTTAGTTATCGGGATGTCTGTTGAGTTCTTGTGGTCTTGAAGCCATTTAACGTTTAACAGTTGTTCTGCAGTAACTTTGGTCCAGGCCCTTGTGGAGCTGGGTTGTCCACAATGGTTGCAGTCTCTCCAGTGGGATCATCACTGCTAGAATACAATCAGCGTTCCAACAAATGGTTGCATTCCTTTCCTTGCTTTCACGCCGGACATGGATGACATGGTTCTCTGGTGAAGGTCCGTTACCCATTCTTACAGTCCAGATTAAGGTCTTTCTTCAGGAAGGTTTGACTAACTGTCTGCGTTTCAGCCGTTAGTCAGATTCCTCTTTACCGGACAGCTGGATTGGAAGGCCCTCGAAGGCAAAGATCAGATGGTGTTAGTATTCTGTTCCTACCAAAAGCCATTGTGTTCAGTGTATTTTGGTGATAATGGATGTACATAAAAAAGCATGACCCTTGCCTTAAATGACTAATTAAGGTAAACAAGAAAAGACATCAGGGGCTGCCTAATATTATGGAGAAATTGAGTGTGTTAGGCCGGGCAAGTGGCTCACGCCTTATTCCTAAGCACCTGGGAGGCCGAGGAGCCGGTTGGCTTCTCGAGGTTCAGGGAGTTTAAAAACCAGCCCTAAGCAAGAGAGACCCAGTCTCTAGCCTAGTACAATAAGAAGAAATTAATTGGGCAACTGAGTATATTGAAAAATTAGCCGGCATGATGGTGAATGGCTGTAGTGCCAGCTACTCGGGAGGCTGAGGCAAGGAGGATTGCTTGAGCCCCAGGGAGTTTGAGGTTAGCTGGTGGGGAGCTTAGGGCTGCACCAAGCACTCACTCTAGCCTGGGCGCAACAAAGTGAGACTCTTGTCTCAAAAAAGGAAGGAAAATGAGTGTGTTGTGTGTGTGTATGCGAAGATTCTCACACACCTCTGCTTTTGAATGACCAAGGAGGCAAACAAGTGAGAAAGAATGCAGCAAAGTGAGAAAATGGATAATTGGACTACTTCCCCTATCTAAAACAAAACGCATCACCATTCAAGGTTATTCCAGAGGGAAAAGGGCCTCCACAATAGTAGTGTACTAGCATATCTACGTAAGAGACCCCCGAGGGGGGAAGGCGAAAGCCAAGGCACAGGCGTCCGGCCTCATCACAAAGGAGGAGGGTCCTTTACAGGGCTAGTTTGCCATGTGTACGATATAGATGACAGAAGTGAAGGACTGGAACCTTCCAAACAGGGCTGCCTGCCAGGTCTGCCACCCTCAGACCCATTCTCAGGACCCAGACAGGATAGAACACAGATTCTCTTGAAGGTTTCTTCATGACCTGACTCCTTAGACACATGGTTTAGATGGGGGCTTCTACTGCCTCTTTTTTCTATAACATCTTATGAGAAGTCCCTCACCACCCATGTGTCTGTCCCTTCTCAGCTTGACTGGGTTGCCAGTCCACATAAATTCCTTCAGCTCTCGGACCAGTAAAAATTTTTCCTTTGAGGAAAGCTGTCCCTTCCCCAGCAACAAAGCACAGCATTTTCCCAGCCTTGTATAGTGAGGAAACTGATCTCTTAATTCTCAACCTGTGTCCGCTAATCGTGTCTTTCATTTCAGTGACTCATTCAAAAAAGACATTTTCTCTCTCCTCCATGTACCTCCACACCCAAAGCGCTACTCCTCAAAAACTGCAGAGCAAGGAGCAAAGATGTAGCTATTAAACAGGACCATAAAGTTTGTTTCTTTGTGTCTCTCCACAGAGCCTGTTGTCCCATGTTCAATATAGGGTTTTTGAGAGTGCGTGGACATTCTGTGGATGGAGATGCCAGAAGATTCTCTGATGTATCTAGTGAAACTGCCCTCTCCCAGAACACTACTACTTGTTTCCTGTGTGCCCAAAGCCCTTCTCCTTGCTGTGCCTTCACATCCACAGTGAGCTCCGGTGGCATGAGCACTACTTGGCCGCACGGTTGGACTTACTTCAAACAGCCAGGGCGACAGGCGGGCAAAAACCCGTGGCTCCTGTTTTCCCTACCGCACAGGCTGGCAGAGCCATATTGGGACCTGGGGCAACTGTGCTACTCTCTTCCCCCTTTTGCCAGGTTCCCAGGTCACTTAACCACCATGCTCCCACCTGCTCCACCACTTCCACAACCCTCAGACATTTCCCTTAACACGCAGGCAGACCCTCCTTCTCACCCACACAGTCATAAATAAAGCGTGTCCCTCCCTCCCTCTCAAATCCTTCCCAGGGCTCTCTTATGGCTTTCAGTGCCTTAGATGGCTCCTCTCACTTTTCTAACCTCTGCTGTCATACACCTGGCCACCAACGTGCTTTTTGTTCTTACCATTTCCTCAGCAGGAATCTCCTTTCAATACCCTCCCATGGCAAGCCTGGCTCAAGCTGCCTCTTCTAGGAAGACTGTAATCATTCAGGTCAGAATCAGCCTCCCCCGCGGCACAGCCTTTTCCCGGCTGGCCACCTCACTTCACCCTGCCTTTCTGTGCACAAGTCCATCTCCTGAATGAGAGGACCTGGAGACAGAGCACCCCCACCCCATCACTCTCGTGGTTCCTAACAGTGCTTTTAGCACAACCCAAAAGGCCTTTCATAAATGTCTAAATGACATGAAATGAAAGACGTGCCTTCCTCCAGTGAAAAAAAAGAACCCCTAAATGGGCTGCTACCCAAAAGGAGCCCTAGCTCTTTTACCATGATACACACTTGGGGCCTGGTGTGTGGCTGAATGCAGAGAATGTGGCACTGCCCCTGCAGAGCTTCCTACAGGCCACACGCGCGAACTGTCTCTGCTCCTATGCCTCTCCCAGTGTCATTCCCTATGGTTTCAAGAAAGTAGTTTCTTTGCAAGCCCCAATCCAAAGACATCTCTCTTCTGCAGCCAACCAGGGGATGCAGCAAGAAGAGTCAGGGTTTGAAGATGAGGACTTGAACAGGAGTCACCTATTGTTTCTAGCTATGGGACCTAGAATTTCCTGCGTGGAAGTTGTCAGGATGAGGAGGCTCTTGGAGGTGATAATGCCATGCATGGAGCAGGCATGCCAAGTCCCTTCTAACTGTCTCTTAATTACAGCTTCATCGTGTCTCCTGCTTTTCCAGAGGAAGAGAACAAACCAAATCAGGAAAATTGCAACAGACAAATGACAGGCAGCCATTGGCATTTACATTCTTATTTGTGGTTTCTGGGTTTTCATTTTGTTTTGCTTTTTAATTTTTTCCTAGAAAAAAAACAAACCAGGGAATTTATATGACAAGAACTATCAGTGGCAGGATGGCAGGGGGAAAGAGAAAGACCAGAGGCATGGGAAGCTAAAAAAAAGTGGGTTCCGAATCACATGGAACAGTCCACAGGTCATGTCCAGGTCCGAATGAGATAACCAGTCACTTGGCATGCGTGTTCAGTGCCGGTCTTCTGGTCTGCCCACTCGGACACCCATGGTCAGAGAGCTAGCCACACCTCAGAAATCTGCGTGACAAACTCAGGACTTTACAGAAAGACAGACTTAATTCAGCTCCTTGGCTTTGTGCTCAGGTATCATACAGCAGGCAGCCTTTCTTGCCTAAGATCTGGAAGGGTGGAAGAGTCACCTTGGACCACTTTGGCATCAAGTAGTGAATTCCAAGCAGCTGCCCAACTCATGTGCAGAGTGGTCTTCACCATTCATGCTGGCATTATCCAGACATCCCAGCCAATCTGGTTAAAGGACAGGGACATGACAGTCCCTTTCTAGCCACAGCTCAACAGTAGTGTCCATTCTCAGTCTTGCTGGAACTGTCTATCGCTTTAAGGGTGGGAGGAGATTGGAATCGTTCCTTTCAGCTCAGCACTGGATGCCGATTCCAAGAAGCTAGTAATTTAATGAGAGACAGAGCGGCCATCTGGATCTGCATTGAAGATCTTTCAACTTTTGCCCACTTTATGCCCCATATCTCAGGGCAGAAAATTCTGCAAGCCCAGAACAAAAAGGGTAGCCGAGTGAGTGGCTGGGCAAGAAAGAGCCAATAGCACACTGTAAGATCGAGTACATTCAAGAAGGGGAGGGGCATGCAGTAAGCTGTAGACCCAATTCACAGTCTGGGACATGCGGAGCCTGAAGGATACAGCCAGGCCTGCTACTGGTGGGTCTGGCACCTCACATGATGGGGCCCCACTGGTTGTTTTTTTTTTTTTTTTTTTTTTTTTCCACTTCTATGGTTCTGGATGGTTGTGGTTCCTATGCAATGAGTTCCTGCCCTGTTGTGGCCCCTGTTCCTGAACTGAGGCCAGGTTTCATCTCAGTGCCGCAGTCCTGAGGAGCACCACGCTGGCCGGCCAGCCAGGCCACAGTCCTCAGCGCCTCTGGGTTCCACAGGAAGGCCCCAGTGAGCCACCGTCATTGGGAGGGAAGAGCAAGGGAAGAGAGGCTGCATTGTGCGGGAGAGACTCGGGGAGGAACTACCATAGGCTTGGAAGGAGCTTTGGCCCAAAATATTGCGGTGCCAAAAGGAATAGAATGTGTTTCTGAAAAACAACAACAGATTTGTCCTTATTTTAAAAAGAGAAATTGTTGCTGCTGCTTGGTTTTTTCTTTTTAAGACAACTCACATTTAAAAGGTGAAGGGGCTGGGGAGATCTAGTCCCCCTCTGATCCTTGACAGGCACCAGGAGGCCTCAGTCTCACACCAGCTTCTGCTCTAGTGGCCTGGGATCCAGCCACACGAAGCAAGGGCAGGGCGGGGAGAGCAACTGCTCTGCTTTTCCCACACCGGTTTCTCCCCACAAACCAGAACACATGTGAAGAGAAGTCCAAAGACTAAAGTGCAGAGAACTCCACGGAGTGGGCAGCCTGGTTTTAGAGCACTCCGAGAAGGCATGAGGGCCAGGAGTTGGGGAGCGGCCAGCCCAGAGCTACAGCTGTGGAACAATCGTTGATCCCTGTGAAGTGAGCCTGCAGGGCATAGTCTCCTTCCCCTTGGACCCCATTGACACTTCTATCTGGGACTGTCTGCTATCAGCAGCCCTCTAAGGAAAAGTCCCAATCCCAAAGATATGGTCCGTGAGGGGAGAAAACTTGTATGACATCCCTGGTTGGTAATGACTAGTGAACGGGAAGGGAACAGAAGGTGGCAGGAGGGGAAACAGTGCATTATATAAAATCAATGAACCTCAGGTTTCGAGAGCAGGGATACATGGACAACCCTAAAGGCAGAGTCTCTCCTGGGAAGTTTTGGTGATGAAGGTCAGGATCCTACCAGTGAGGTCTGCTGGGGAAAGGGGCTCCTCTGGGTGTGAGAGGAGCAGCAGAGTCGGGGAGGGCTGCCGAGGAAGAAAGCCCATGGTGGGCACTAGGGCGTGTAAGCCGGGGGCGGCTGGAATTGGTTGATGACCTCATACTCTGCTGGGTAGGGCTCATTCTCCTCCATCTCGGAGAGTAGCTCCAGCGCCTGCTCCTCTTCCTCTGTCGGGTAGTGGCGCAGAAGGTTGGCTGCTGTGGCCAGGATTGAGGCCCCACCGGCTCCTGCCACCAGATAGAAGCTAACAGCAAAGGTGACATAGACCTGGGAGCCATGGTACTTCTTATGTTGCTGTTGCTGGGCCAGGATGAGTTCAGAAGCCCAGTAAGAGAAGCCGATGACGGTAGCACACTGTAGGACTAGGGGACAGAGGACAGCACAGAAGGTGGATTAGCAGGTACCCTGCAGTGAGGATGCTTTAGAAACCAATTACAGCCTGTCTACCCCAAACCCCAGACCCTGCAAGGAGGAGCTCCCTTGGCCAGGGATTCTTGGCCTGGGATCCCATCTAGATCATAGTCTCTCTGTCTTAAGTACTTGCAATTGGGATACTAAAACCACTGGATGTTTTGGGTACTTAAAAGGAATAGATAAGGCCGGGCGTGGTGGCTCACACCTGTAATCCTAGCACTCTGGGAGGCTGAGGCAGGCGGGTTGCTCGAGGTCAAGAGTTCGAAACCAGCCTGAGCAAGAGCGAGACCCCGTCTCTACTATAAATAGAAAGAAATTAATTGGCCAACTAACATATATATAGAAAAACTTAGCCGGGCATGGTGGTGCATGCCTGTAGTCCCAGCTACTTGGGAGGCTGAGGCAGTAGGATTGCCTGAGCCCAGGAGTTTGAGGTTGCTGTGAGCTAGGCTGACGCCACGGCACTCACTCTAGCCTGCGCAACAAAATGAAACTGTCTCAAAAAAAAAAAAAAAAAGAAATAGATAAGGTCATGCAGTTTGGGAGCTGGAGTTTGCACCACCACAAATCAAACTGACACACCAGCCTGGTCATGAGGGAGGCATGCAGCCACATATAAGCAGGGAAGGCTGGTCTGCAGGGAGGCAGGAAGGTGGCGTGGAGAGAATCCCACCATGAACTACAGGAGACACGGGGAGACAGCCTGGTTTCTTCCTTGCTCATTCCAGGCACTGAGCTTGGCTGGCATTCAAATGCTACTTTTAGAGAGCCTTGAGATTTCTTGTGGAATTCTAAGAACATTCCTTCTCTACAGCTGAGCTGAGTGCACTTGTGATCTTGCCAAGGGTACATGCAAGTGACTAAAGCAAGGTGCTATCACACCCTAATGCTCTGTGAAAGGCTAGAGCTTTTTACATGAGCACCTGGAACATTGTCTGCTCATAGAAATCCGAGTCCCCACCTGCAACTCCAGACGGTGTGCACCGCCCAGTGGCAGTTCCTCCCCCACTACGAGCAGGCCCTGGGCTTACCAGTTAGGATATGCGCAAAGGCGTAGCGACGGGTGATCTTCAGGGCTGGATGCTTGGGCCCAAAGACATCCAGAAGGAACGCAGAGAGACTACACAGGATGCCAAGGAAGCAGAAGGCAGCGATGACCCGCAGGAGCAGCACTGTCTGGGGATTCATGCAGAAATCTGTGGAGGGAGAACCAAACTTTCAGGGTCCCAAGTAACACCCTGGTGCATGAAGTCCCCACCCAGGAAGGAGCTCAATCCCCCTCCACCACAGTCCAGGGAGCCAGGTGAGTACCAGAGGATCCCGTCTTAGCTCCTGCTCCTAGCTGGTCTGTAAAGGAGCTGGAACAACCTCCACATTAGGAGACAAGAACCCTGGATCACTGCTCCCCTGTACCTCAAGTCCTTCTCTTTCAAACAAGACTAGTCTAAGTGCAGGATTCCACTTTGTTGTACTTGCCATGCTCTTCCATTTTTAAAGATTCTGACAATCTGTCATGTTAACCCATTCTGCTAACAGATGCTTTGGGCTGGCAGGAAAAGCCTGACTTCTAAGCTGAGACAGCCAGAAAGGCTAAGGCCAGAGATCAATTAATGCTGATTCCCCATTTACTCACTCATTCATTCTCTTTTATTCCAAAAAGTAGTTCAATTTGAAGACATTAAGCTAAGTAAAATAAGCCAAACATACAAAGACAAATATTGTATGATTACTCTCATATAAGATACCTAGAATAGTCAAATCCATAGAGACAGAAAGTAAAGTGGTGGTTGCCAAGGGCTGGGAAAACAATTTTTCCAGGGATGGGGGCACAGAGCTTAGGTGGGGATATGCAGCCTGGTTCCTAACAGGTTGTGGCCTGGAGTTGGGGACCGCAGATTTAATGTGTACAGAGATTCAGTCTGGGATGATGAGAAAGTTCTAGAAATGGACAGCGGTGGTGCTTGTACAACAATGTGAACAAACTTAATGTCATTGAACAGTACATTTAAAAATGGTTAAAATGCTCATTTTTATTTTATCACAATAATTAAATAAAATAAAGAGGAAAAAAGAAGTTGAGGCAATTCAGAGAAGTACATAACTACAAGAATGTATTAAATAAATTAGGAAAGATAGAGCACTGTGCCGTCACATTTATTTTTGCTCCCTCCCTGAACCCTACCAGAAAGAAAGAAAATAATTTTTTTTTTTTTTGAGACAGAGTCTCGCTTGTTGCCCAGGCTAGAGTGAGTGCCGTGGCATCAGCCTAGCTCACAGCAACCTCAAACTCCTGGGCTCAAGCAATCCTGCTGCCTCAGCCTACCGAGTAGCTGGGACTACAGGCATGCGCCACCATGCCCGGCTAATTTTATATATATATTAGTTGGCCAATTAATTTCTTTCTATTTATAGTAGAGACGGCGTCTTGCTCTTGCTCAGGCTGGTTTCGAACTCTTGACCTCGAGCAATCCGCCCGCCTCAGCCTCCCAGAGTGCTAGGATTACAGGTGTGAGCCACCGCACCCGGCTAGAAAATAATTTTTTTAAAAGGCATAAACCCACACAAGAGAAAGGGAGGTGCGAAACAGAATTCTGAAAACTGGGAGGTAAAGGGACTTAGTGCTACCTAGGACGACTGAGCAGACTCAACAGAGCTGAGGGTAAACCAGCAGTGGGAAAAGCTAAGCAGCAACTAGATGTACACCACAAAATCCCCAAAAGGTTAAGAAATTAACAGCACCAAAGGGTGCACATGCTACCAAAATAAGAGAGTAAATCAAAGAAAAGGAAGATGCTAAAACAGGAGACAACATTCAAGGAGTCCCTAGGGTCACGGTAAAGGGAGATTCCTGGATGACAACCATGCACCAGACACACAGAGAAACTTGTATTTCCTTCCAGTACTTTAATATAGTATTTTAAAACAATTTCAATTAGACAACACTGTCAATCTCCTTTGATAGTATGCAAACTGCCATAGCTTCCAGAAGTATACAATAAAGGCTGATCCAAAAAGAAACCAGGCTATGATTAAGTATTCCAAGTCTTAATAAAAGTAGGAAATGGGCCTTAACTTCCTCTTCCTCCCCTTTTCTTGCCATTGACAAGTTCTTCTTTCATTTAGGCCATGAGTTACAAAGTGATTTAGGAAAATCTGGAAAGGGCTCAGGCTATAGACTCCTTTCCTAAAGTTGATCCCAGGCTGTGTAAGGTGGTGATCAACCTCTAGCACACATCCAAACCACTAGGATGCTAAATGAAAGCATGTTCTTAGGCCCCCAGAGAGTCTGAGTGCTAATCCTAACCACTAGACCACTAGGGAGAATACTTTAATTTTTTTATTAGGTTGTTAACTATGAAATGTCCGATTTCCTTAAGTACTAAGTTTGATATATCTGACATTTTACTTTGACACTTCTCGTTTTATTTTTATTGTGAAGGTACATCCTCAGTCTTGCAAATGCACATTTTGGCTTGTGATTATCTTTCAAATTTTTGGGGGGGAGGAAATTTTTGTGAAACCATAGATAAGTCAAAAATTCGTGTTATTTTCTAATGAGTTCCATCATGGAACCAATGCAATGCAGACAGCTCAAAACATCAACAAAGTGTTTGGGAAAGATGTAGCTAATGAACACAAAATACATTGATGCTTTGAGAAGTTCTGTTCCGGTGATTTTAATCTTGAAATGAGTCACATGGGCGACCTGAGACCAAGGTGGATAATGATGAGCTGAAAGCTGTAGTGGAAGCAAATCCATTTCAACCTACACATGAATAAGCAGCACGGTTTGATGTTACTATTCCAACAATATTGGACTATTTGAAACAAATGGGCAAGGTAAAGAAGCTGGATAGATGCGTTCTGCGTGAATTAAACGAGCATCAGCAGAGAAATCATCTTGAAGCTTGCCTTTGCTGTCACCACATAAAGGTGAACCATTTCTACGTTGTATTGTTAGGTGTGATGAAAAATGGATTCTTTTTGACAATCACAGCATTCAGCACACTGGTTGGATAAAGAGGAAGTGCCAAAACACAGTCCAAAACCAAATATTCATCACAAAAAGCCAATGGTGTCTGGTGGTCCAGTGCTGGTATTATCTACTACAGCTTCACGAAACCTGGCCAATTAATTACAGTGGATGTCTACTGCAACCAACTGGATAAAATGATGAGGATGCTTGTGATTAAGCAGCCAAGACTGGTCAACAGAGACAGACCAATCCACTTGCAAGACCACATGTCGCAAAAACAATGCTGATCAAACTACAAGAAGCTGGACTTGGAAATTCTCTGTCCTCCTCCATATTCACCAGACCTTGCAACAACTGACTACCACTTCTTGGAGGCTTTGGACCATTTCTTGCAAGGAAAAATATTCAATTCTCAACAAGCTGTGGAAAATGCCTTTGGCAATTTCATTGCCACTCATTCTCCAGGCTTCTTTGCTGCTGGCATAAACAAGCTACTGTTAAGATGGCAAAACTGTGTCCATAGTCTAGGCACATACTTTGATTAATTGTACTGCTTCTTGTTTGAGATATAGTAAACTACGCTTTTGATTCGAAATTGGACATTTCATATTTAATGACCTAATTGTTTTAGTGTTTTGGGTTTTTTTGGTAGAGATGAGGTCTGGCTATGTTGCGCAGGCTGGTATCGAACTCCTGGCCTCAACTGATCCTCCCGTCTTAGCCTCTCAAAACTCTGGGATTATAGGCGAGCTACCTAGCCTGGTGAGTCTGAGTTCTAGGTCTGGAGCAGAGCCTAGGAATCTGAATTTTTAACAAGCAGCCCAGGTAACCCCCATGCAGGTGGTCCAAGCCCTACACTTCAAGAAACACTGGTCCCAGACCTCAGAGAAAGGTGGACCAAGGAAGGAAAGTCCAAGAACCTGGGGAAGGGACCCAATCTCAATAAAGCTTATTCAAGCCAGCAAATGCTGGCATCATGGGGTCAGAGGGTGGCCCTGGGCCTTTGTGGCTGAGCATGCATACCCTGTGTCAGGCTCAGAATGCACCAAGCAGATGTTGGCTGGGCCCAGATGGAGGCTCATATGCCCCCATCTGGGCTTTGAGTCACCCACCAAGCCACCCTCAGAGCTATCTGTCATGATCTCTTGTCTGCTGACCATCTGTTTTGGGCCCAAGCATCCAGCCTGAGTTACTGCCTACTGCCAGGAAGGTTGCCTGTGTGTGAGCTCTGCCAGCAACCGAGACCAGCCTTCATTTAATCCAGCCCACATAGCTGTAGCCAGCACACAGGGCCTCACTGAAAGAAAAGCTCTAGGAGACAGAGGCTCCTGGCTTTATTTTGAATATTATTTTATTTTATTTTTTTGAGACAGAGTCTCGCTTTGTTGCCAAGGCTAGAGTGAGTGCCGTGGTATCAGCCAAGCTCACAGCAACTTCAAACTCCTGGGCTCAAGCAATCCTGCTGCCTCAGCCTCCCGAGTAGTTGGGACTACAGGCATGTGCCACCATGCCTGGCTAATTTTTTTTCTATATATATTAGTTAGCCAATGAATTTCTTTCTATTTATACTAGAGCCTGGGTCTTGCTCAGGCTGGTTTCGAACTCCTGACCTTGAGCAATCCACCCACCTCGGCCTCCCAGAGTGCTAGGATTACAGGCGTGAGCCACCACGCCTGACCTTAAATATTGTTAAAAGCTCTCTGAGATGGTTCTTCTTGGGGTCCACATGGCATGTGGCAGTGATGGGTCAGGACGAAAGTGTTTTTCTAGTCCTTCCAAGAATAACCTGGCAGAGGTCACATGCCGCTCTGCAGCAAGCTGTGTCAGATTCCACTTGCATTACTTAATGCAGCCAGGCACTCAGAGTGAAACCAGTAATACGTGGGGGCTTCAAAGAGACTATTCTCTTTCTCTGGATGGCAAACATAAGAATGTTCATTGTATTATCCTTAAAAATGTAAATCCATTATATACACTACTCTATGTTTTATGTTTCATAATACATTTAATAAGGAAGACATGCACATGATAAAAGGTTTCAGAAAGGATATCCCTTCCTTTCCAGATGTCCATCTGCCTCTCCTCAGAGGCAAACGTTGTTGGAGGTGACTTGCATACTCCTCCAGGAATGGCCTGCACACACAGATGGGTCAAATGTTATCTCAGTTAATCCTCACTGCCACTGTGGGGGATTCATCACACAGCTCGGATGAGGAATCA